ATAAAATATTATTTACTGTCATGGCAAAGATAAAATAAGTCAGTTATTAAAAATGAGTTATTAAAACTAATATGTTTAGAAATGTGCTGAATAAATCTTCTCTTCGTTAATTTGAATTTGGGGGAAAAACTGTGGGCTAATAATTAAGGGGGCTAATAATTCTGACTTCAACTATATGTTTATATATATATATATATATATATATATTTATATATATATATATATATATATATATATATATATATATATATATATATATATATATAAACACACACACACACTTCTGACTTTGTTTTTTTGTTTTTTAATATGCTTATTATCATTAGTAATAGTAGTAGTAAATAAAGTAATTTACTGCTATTAATATTAAAAATGCTATAATAAATATCTTTATAATTTCAATATTTGATGCAATATTAATATAACAAAATAATAATAATCATAAATTTGAGTGTTGTTATTATTATTAGTAGTAGTAGTAGTAGTAGTAGTAGTATTTTTTTATAATATTCAATCAAATAATATATATATAATATATAATAATAATATATAATATATGAAAAATTTATTGTAGCATTTTTATATTTATAGCAGTAAATTATTATTATTTTTTTACTCCAAGTTTGTTTTCTTTTCTTGTAGGGCAGCATTTTGTGATTATAAATAAATCCCACCTGGGACATTTTGTCTTCACTTTTGCCCAGCCTCAAATTTTATTACAGTGTCACTGAGAGTGTGAGAAGCTGCTGGTATTAAGCTTGAAGCCCAGATCTCTTCTTTTGTTTGTGTGTGTGTGTGTCAGATGACCATTAAAATAACATTGTTATAATCAGTCATAAATGAAAACACTTGCAAACTTGATACTCTTGTTAACACACAAACACACACACACACAAATGCAGCATCAGCCTGCAAATGACCCAGAATCAAAGTGGTCGTAATGTCATGGGAACTTAAACCGTGCTACTCTTCTCTCAAAAACCCCTCAGTGTTTACAGAGCTCTCACAAAAACATCATTTTTCTCCAATGCATATGATATCAATCCCAATGATTTCCTAAACTAAGGCAACATTGTTGGCCAAGGCGGTTCTCAGACTCTCAGGGCTGATTTATTTCTTCAGGTTTAGTCACTAGAAGGCGAAGCTTTGTGCTTTCTGCATCGCTCCGGGACTCTCTGCGCTCAATGTGCTTTCATTATGATCTAGTGCATGATCCTGATCTAGCCTTCCTCTCTGCTGAGCATTGTGTCCTCTTGTGCACATTCCCCAATTACTGAGGAAAAACATTCCCGAGGCTGAGGTAAACTTGCGCGTGGTCAATGTGTAAAAAGAGAAGTCTAATTTAAATAGTAAAAATGCTACAGTAACAATCTGTAACCTGGTTAACAGTAGGTGTAGGGGTTTGGGTGGTCCACTACGATGTCACATTTTAAACTTTACTTGATGTGTAATGTAGATGTGTGAACATAAACAACCTCTCTGAGTGTAATATGCTCAAAGTTCAATGCAAAGGGAGATATTGGCTTTTAGAGTTAACTTAGCAAAGCTGTTAGGCGTGATCAAAACAATAACAAAAACGGGAACAAAAGATAGCGGATTCAAGTGCAGATTTTAATATATTAAAGTGCAAAAACAGTGAACAAAAATCCAAAATATCAAAGTGCAAAGTAACAAATAAACAACAAAACAAGAAACTAAGACAGATAAACATGAACTAGACTAAAGCAAGATACGAGGCAAGATGAGGAACGACAACTAGGAAAACAGACTTACTGGGTACAAGAAAAGACAAACGGCGCGATGACAAACAGTGGTTGAATGACTAAATATATAGTCCTGGTAATCACGGAGAATGGAGACAGCTGTGGTTGTAAATCAATGTAAATGACAGACCGGGTGTGTGCACGAAAGAATGTATGGAAATGTAGTCTTTATTGGCGCTGTAGTTTCACTCAGTGTCCATTGAACTACAGCGCCCTCAGGCGGTCACTGACAGATGTGACAAAAGCCTACAGCGAACGAAGCAATACAAAAAAATACATCCGGGCTAGTCAGATCACAATCACTTCAGGATACACGCATTAACCATGTGCAAACACCCCGCGTAGCAAAAGGGGCGTGGCTAGAGGTACTGTATGTTATAGCAGAGAAAGCTAAAATGTTGTCCATTGAGCTCCCAGAATCTCTCTCAGTTCAGTGCTGGATTCGGCTAAAAACTCCTCCAATCATAATAGACGAAGCTGTGGATTGTGAGCCACAACCTGTAAGTATTTTTATTTGTGTTAAATTGATTAATAACATGTACAGTTTTTAGCGCTAACGGTATGTTGTAGCAAGGATGTAAACAACAGGAAATGCTGTTTGGCACAGCTAACAATTTAGCTACAAGCTCTAATTTATCAGTCAATTACTTCAAATTACTTCGATATGCTTATTATATGTGAAAGACACTTGTCAGATTTCATTTTAGAGAGCAGGCGTGAGGTTCAGCTGTGTCCTCTGTGTCATTTTCTGTCAGGTTCAGGCTCAAAAAGATACAGTTAACAGCTACTTTGACTGACGGTGTTTACATAGCGCAAAAGTGAGTAGCTGTATATAATCAAAGTAAGATATATGAAAAAATAACGGGATTTTCTACAAGTGAAGCATGAGCACACATTGCTTTGCATCTTATATACACAACCAAGCCTTAAAAGTACACTCTGGACCACCCCTTTAATACCGTATATACAGCGAATACGCATCAAATCACTTTCTCAGAGCTTTGCTGCTTGCTGTAATTGCGAAGTTGGGAAATTCTCAACTTTTCAAGCTCCAACGGAAGCATCAGCCAATCAGATCACTTTATGCTGACACCCCAGCTCAAACGGTAGCCGATTGCGGACTAATTTAATTGGCTGACACTGCTATAACGATCATGACAGCCCCAACTTCAGACGCGTTGACATTGAAGCACTGTGTCAATGCACGATTACTGTAGTTGTTGTTTTTTTTTTGTTTTTTTGATAATTATTTTTAGTTTTTGAATGATAATCGAACAAATATCTGCAAACAAAAAGTAAAATAAAGGGAGTTATACAACAAAAGTACATAAACATTGATGTTCCGACTGTGGGGCATACAAAAAAAACATTTTGAAAACAACAAAATAAACATCATGGTAACACAAATAAAATTAAACTAGTACAGATGCAACAAAGCTCTAATGTATATAACTCGTGAGAAAAAACAAAACTGTTTTTTCTGTTTGTGGGAAAAGCAGTTTGTGATGAGGATTGGTTTGTCGTTACTTTCTCATTCAATTCAGTTCATTTCATGTTTATTTCTATAGCGCTTTTACAATGTAGATTGTGTCAAAGCAGCTAAACATAGAAGTTCTAGTAAATTGAAACTGTGTCAGTTCAGTTCAGTGTGGTTTAATTTTCACTGCTGAAAGTCCAAACACTAAAGACCAAATCCATCGATGCGCAGCGCCACAAGTCCCAGCAAGCCAGTGGTGAGAAAATTAAAGGTTCAGCAGACCTTTTGCTCTGAATAAATGGCTAATAACATAGTGTGAAGAACAGAAGCTGCACTTTGCTAATAACTAGAATGTTTTCTGGGAACTTTATCATCCACACATGCTTTTAGTTGTGTTTGTTTGTCCAACAAAGCTATATGATGTAGGTGTTAGTACATTAAAACATTGATGCACAAATATGACTAAATTAATGAAATTTATGTACACATTTATTTTATGTTCCTGCTGTTTTTTTAACGGTAAAATCCTGGGAACCAAATTATTAAAGAAATTTTATTAATTGATTTTTTTTTTTACAGTGAGACATTTGATTGCAATCTTGTATAATCTACATCACAGGTGTCAAACTCAGTTCCAAAAGGGCCGCAGCTCTGCACAGTTTAGTTCCAACCCTAATTAAACACACCTGATCAAACTAATTGAGTCCTTCAGGCTTGTTTGAAACCTACAGGTAAGTGTGTTGGAGCAGGGTTGGAACTAAACTGTGCAGGGCTTCGGCCCTCCAGGAATTGAGTTTGACACCCCTGATCTACCTCATAGAAACTCGATTCCTGAAGGGCCACAACTCTGCACAGTTTTGCTCCAGCCCTAATCAAACACAGCTAATCCAACTAATCAAGATGTTCAAGTCTACTAGAGACTATTAAACAGGTGTGAGTTGGAGGTGGTTGGAGATAAACTGTGCAGAGCTGCCTACGGCCCTCCAGGAATTTGAGACCATTGATCTAACGCCATTCGATATGGTACAGTATATATCAAACACTTATAACGAGAGTTTCATGTCAGTATGCTCAATAGAGAATTATGTCAGGATTTTTTAAAGGGATAGTTCATTCTAAAATGAAAATTTGCTGTCAACTTACTCATCCCCTTTCAAGATTTTCTGATTCATAAATGTGATTGGTAATTAATTAAACACTTTTTTTCTGGAAATAGGCTTATTTTACAGCTCCCTTTGAGTTAAACAGTTGAGTTTAACATTTTTGAATGCATTCAGCCCATCCCAGGGGCCTTTTAGCTTAGCTTAGCATAATGAATTGAATCTGATTAGACCATTAGCATCACACTCAAAATTGTCAAAAAGGTTTTTGATAATTTTTTAATTTAAATCCTGACCCTTCTTATGTAGTCACATCATGTGCTTAGACAGGCAGAAAGTGAAAAGTTTCTATTTTCTAGGCCAATATATCTAGGATCTATACTCCAATTCTGGGGTAACTTGCAGACTGTTTTTATGAAGTGTGATAATAAAAAAATGTAATTGAATTACTTTTTATCACTATAAGCTGGCAATATTCACAGTCTATTGCCTTTTAACTGTGTTGGCACCCCTTATAAAAGTGAATTCTTTGCCTAATAGATCCCCTTTAAGCAATATGTCTCTTCTCTCCTCCTTACTAAACTCTTCACCCTAATGCGCAACTAACCTGCAGCTTTCACAGTGGTTGCTACAGCTAATGTCATCTTGTTTGTTTTCTAGAATGCCATGGTGTCGTTTAAGGAGCTCTGCGGACTGACTCCGGCAGCTAACATGAAGCAGTGTATCCTGACTGTGTCGTCCTGGCTGATGAACAGCGAGCGAGTGCTTCGCGTGACGGTAGATCTGAGCGAGGCCTATCCCACCATGGAAGCCCACGGCCCCATTCCTGAGCTGCTGCGTAAAGTGCTCACCGCTTATGACACGGTAGGGGGAAATTCAACAGTGGCACCCTAACAGTACACAGATAAGTATTGTCAGCTGATTTAAAGGGATAGTTCACACAATTTCAAGAATGAATGAACTTTAAGTCAGAATTTTCATGAATAATTGAATATGAATAATTTCTAGCTTGACTGTAGCTGTATATAGCTGCAAATCTTACTATGACATCTTATATTTAAAGTATAAAACAAATATGAATAACTAATCGAATATTCTGGAAATCCCAAAATAAACTGTTGTAAATCTAAATATGTTGTTGGCAATCTAAATACAATATATGTAAAAACGTATATAAAAAATTCCTTAATAAGCAAAAAATCCAGAATATATTGTTGTAAAGCTTATGACATTTTATACTGAACTTAATTATAGATCTAAATATATATTTTAGATATTTAAATATGTCTTCATATGCAGTATTTATACTACCGTGTCTATATAGAATAACTTCAGAATCGCCGCCACATTCCGCTCTTTCTTGCTTCTATCTGCTCTTTCCTTTTATAATAGGACTTTACTACAACAGATTCAATCCTGTAGGGATGTAGGAACGTTTTATTGTATTACACACACACAATGGCTCCATACGTACTCCATACTTTCATAGCACAATTCTATTTTGATATGAGCAGACATCCTCATGTATAATGTATGCAGAATTTGCCGTGTGTGTGTGTCGGCTGAAGTACAAGCTGTGCAGGATTTTCACTCTCAATTAGGCCTCTATCAGGGTCAAACTAAACTGTGATTTGTCAGGTGCCAAAGTATTTGTCAGGCCCAGAATCAGGAATGCAGTGCCTTGTCACACAGTACAAATTTCAAAGAATTGTTTGACAAAATCGGCTTATAACAGCATGAATTTCTATTTTTGTCCAAGGTGGTTCATAATGGATGGGTCTTTTGGGCCTATGAGCTCGTTCCACTGCATGTTTAGGTAGTTGAACAAATATGTGTTGTATCCACTGTGTTTAAGAGCACTTATTTTCAAAATTGTACTTTTTTTTTAAAGCCTTTAGATCAAAAATTATGTTCCACATTTCAGAAAAATGTTTGCAAAGGCATCCACTGCGTAAAACATATGCTGGATATTTGGCAGGTCATTCCACTGTGGCGACCCCTGTTTAATAAAGGGACTAAGCCGAAAAGAACATTAGTTTATTTAAGAATGAATGAACTTTAAGTACAAATTAAAGGAAAGACAAAAGTCACAAAGTCTTCAGTGAGACACGCAGCACAAAAGATGACCGAAACTGATCATAGGAGAGACATAAAGCATTCAAAAAGAAGACAGGAGTGTCTGATCTCTAGTTTTACACTACCGTTATTATAATGACAATCATGTACAAGACAATAAACAATCTCTTCATAACTTTACAAACACTTCACTACAGTATTGTGATCTATGTGCTCTTTAATAAACTCCAAATGAGTTTTAAGATGAAATCAAGTAATTTAAGTCATTTTGAGATTGATGCAACAAGTTTTTCACACCTGGATTTGAGGATTCTCTGCCATTCCTCTTTGCTGATCTTCTCCAGTTCTCTCAAGGTTGGATGGTAAACGTTGGTGAACAGCCATTTTTAGCTCTCTCCAGAGATGCTCAATTGAGTTTAGGTCAGGGCTCTGGCTGGGCCATTCAAGAACTGTCACCGAGTTGTTGAGAAGCCACACCTAAAGATGTCAACACTCTTTAATAGATTTTGATTTTTGATTACAGTGGACATCAGGTAAACATAGTTAGACTGCAAAAACAATATACCTGTGTTTAATTAAAACTAAAATAATACAACTTGTCGATCTTTACTTGGTTTCTTCTGATGGTTTCAAACTTGAGCAATGTAACATTTTAGCTGATTTTGAGGTTTTTGTTTTATATGCTGCTTATTACTAGACCTCTGTCTCCATTATTATAAACAGATTTATATAATCACAATAATTATCTACTGGGCTTCTACTGTACCAACCAAAAAATAAATAAATAAAACACAAAAACTGACAGAACCATATTAAATATTGTTCACTTCTTGTTAGATTTACCAACAAACATAGACCACACTGTTAAAATAGCTATAAATTAGCCGTTTTCTGTGTTTTGGGATTTGCATTTTAATTTTAGTTTATTTATAGTTTTGATTTGCATTATGGGACCTTGATCTTTCTTCTAAAACAACTTTTAACTTTGAACTTTTTAACTTTTTATTTTTTTTAAGTAGTTTAAAGTGATATATTGTCTGGGTTGGTGTTGTATATTACGCTACAAAAACCTTGTAATAAACTGCTGGTTCATTTTCTGTTTTTTTAAACAGACTTATTCATCTATATATTAGTTATTTTACATTATATTATTATTATATATTATAAACTACTAAAATGTCAAAAAAGTCACTTTGTTTGACTGTAGAGTTGAGTTTTCAACATTAAAAGTCGACAGAGCAGAGATCAACTTCCCACAATGTAAGTCACAATTGTAAATATACTGTGCGGAAGACACTTGTAAACCACTAAATATGGAAACTGTTAATTTACAGTTTTAACAGTGTTCTGACCAAGCGGCAACCTCCCGCTCTCCCTCAGGAAGCCAATACGGAAGTAACTAAAACTGCAATTCATCCAAAATTCTGCTAGTCCTGGCCGCTCCTGGCTCCAAAACAGAGCAACTTTCAGTTGAGCCCACTGTTAGAATGGCCAACTTTACAGCAGAAAAAAAGGTGTTTACAGCCTGGTACAAAAAAAGATTTTGGTTAATACAGGTAATATTACCCTTCATGACAACTGTGAGGGGGGTGAATTTTTTTATAACTCGTCCGTTTCCTTTATATTAAGTTATATTAAGTTTGCATAATTAAGGGAGTGGCCACTTGATTGACAGCTAGGTCTCGCTGGTCGCCGTCACGTCACCTCAGCTGAATCCTGCAGATTAGCCACTGAACTCGGCATATTTATCGTATTTCTGTGTTGTTTTATTTGGCTTTACACAGTCAACTGCCTTTTGGACTTGTTTCTTACAATTATTAGATGGCATGGCATGCTGAGTACACTTAATTGTGCTCACAAACCATTCACGTGGCCTCCGTTTCCCATGTGAATAAAGTTAAATACTTATATACCATCTTTATACATGTATTTGTTTTATTTAAGATCATTTATCGTTTATATTTATATTTAGAGCTGTAATACACTCCAGAATCTGACGAATTGATTAGCTATAGGCTCTAGAACAGTCATCTGAAGCGTTGTCATACAGTGTTATGCTGGATTTCATCAATAGTCTTACATTAACTAACACAGACTGTATCTGAAGTGTTTGGAAGTAATTCGCGTTTTCCTCCTGTTGAAAACCGTCATAAGAACAATGTTTAGTGGCTCAGTGTATTACAGCAGTGTTTTTAAAAGTCTAAACACTTTATTGATATAGTGTACAACCAAGCACAAGTGGTCAGAATACAAACGAGTCACAGGTGATAAAGTATTAAGCGTTCTCCCAAAGTAAAGTGTGTCTGAACCAGGTCCAAGCTAAATGCCAGCAGGTGTCTGAATCTCCGCTCATTCTCCGCCTCTTTGCCCTTGTTTGGTATCTCGCCGTCGGTGTGATGACGCGCGAACAAAATGGTGACGGTTGGCCGCGCCTACTTGTGGCTTCTTTTGCGCTCTTTAGAAACCTATGGGTGACGTCACAGATACTACGTCCATATATTTTACAGTCTATGGTTCTGACATGCGAGCCACTGTGGACATTGTGGTGGATTTAAATATTAGGTTAGAAAATATAACAAAACAGTTTAGTCATTTTTATATATTTGCGCAAATTGATTTTACGCCATACCTCTTCACCAACTAGGATCCGTCCAATGTTGTTTCTGTAGGATTGGTGAATAATACCAGTGTTCTGTGCACTGACTATACAAAACAAGTATGTCATTTCATATTTGGAGAATGTTTTCAAATGTCCTACTGAAGGAGTTCATTAACATGCTGTAGAGTAGGCTTGGGCGGTAATACGATAATATGGTATACCGCGGGATCTAAAAATAGCAAAGGTGTCAGTTTCAATACTGACAGAGAGAGAGAAAGAGAGAGAGAGAGGTGAGGCGGCGAGTCACGCACCAAGTACCCTGTAGTTTGGTAGTATTTCCGTTTCAACCGAACGAGAAGGGAGACGTGGTAAATACGAACTAGAGGTCTGCATTCCCGCTGCTGTACCGCCCTAGCCGACCAGATTTCTTGCGGTGCGGGAATAAATATCCGTATAAAGCGCGGGAGGGGTCGTAACTCTGGTGTAATTTGAAAGGGAGCGGGTGCGCGGCCTAACAATATCGCTCCCATGCGAGCAAGCACACGCGCATCTGCGTGGATGGTGTGTGTGTGTGTGTGAATGAGAGAGAGCGTCCCACGCAGAAGAATACAAACAAGACAAACAGGTGACCGCGAACCTAAGGTCGCATATACGGTATTCAGTTTCTGAATGGTTTAGGCACTCGCCAACAGTTTGGTGACGGTGTCTGAGCCTTACGTCATAATTTTTTTTATTATGCACGGTGATACCGTGGTAAAACAGGGAGGAGGTTTGGCGGTATCAATTTAAATTTGGAGGCCGCCCAAGCCCACTGTAGGGTTAAAGGGTCGTGTACCCCCCTGTCCCAGCTTTATCTTTAAAAACTGAAAGAGCACTGTCGATACTAATTAACATTGCCAGGACAGGACAATCCACACAAACTGGAGCTTTGTCCTTTTTTTAAAAGACGAGTGGCAAATGCAGATTTCAACATTTCTAGATTTAAAAAGTTCTCAGGTAAAAAAAAAAGTTCCTTACTAACATATTTTTGTCGCGCGTTAGCAGACCATGGTTATGAACACATGTGGGTCTACACGGGAGCTGTGCTCTCGCGGGGAAATGGAGGCAAAACCTTCATTGCGCCACATTTATAAACGCAAGACTGAAGACCCATGTCTCCAAATAATTCTTCTACTACTAATTCTCTGAAATACAGTTGGCAACATGGAGTCTTGACAGCCATCTCATTCACAATAGAGCTCATAAGTCTTTCTCATGAATTAAAGATGAAAGCTCAAAGACGTCACGTTGTACTCGCCGGCACTGACAGCCAATTTCCACACTGGATTTTACACATTGATCTCATGGTCGTGACGCAGCTTCAAAATTTCTTTTCAAACCGGAAAAACAAATTTGCTGTAAACACCCCAAAAACAACCAATTTTCACTTTTTTAATGAAACATTTGTGTCCTAATAGTGTTATTAGCAGCGTGGGACACATATAGGACTGTCAACATATCAAAAAAATGTGTTTTGGTGTTTCAGTTAAGACGATGTTAGCACCTGTCAGCTTTAATTGTGGGGAAAACTGGATAATGTTGAGCTTTTGTCAGCTAATTTCAGCTTCCGGATTTAAAATGATTTTTGGGGCGGGATCAAAATCGGCGACGTAGCGCAGTACTGCAAGTGCAATGATGACACGTCGGTTTCTCATTATTATTCATAGCGGAGTTTTCTTATCTTATGAGAAGAGCCGGCTGCTTAATTATTCATGAGACCTGCCAGTGTCATGCCCGAGCTGTGAGACTTGGACGGATCTACGGAACACAGTATTTAGCCGTTCATGAAGGCTCATATGCGTTTGTTTCCATGATCCACAGGGTTTGTTGCATGTTTTCCCCCGCGATCTTGTCAGGGCCGATCATAAAGCAAATCTGTGTGTGTGCTGCTAGCATTTTTTGTCGGGAGAGCAGCACGAGAATTAGAGAATGGCGGACACTGTCTTTTATCAGGAGTTTGTTCACATTCAGACACATCACTGTGCTGCTGTGTTTGCCTAAATCCTCCAGATTACCAGCAGGACTAATGGTTAAAATAGACAGGTCAGGAGACCTGCTGCACTGAGTCTGCTGGATACGGGAATTGAGGGAGAAGTCCTCATTTATAGGTTTTACATGAACAAACTTATCTTTATATTGATATAAATTGTGGTTATGTGTATATGAAATTACGAATAACAAATGTAGCAGGGCATTAAATCACTGTTCATTTCTTTGCATTTTAACTTTGTAAACTATAAACTCATGCGTCTCCTATATTTTACAGTCTATGGTCTCCTCACGGTTTGTCTCATTTTGTGAGCTAACTGTCAACAACAGTTGTTCGCTCACGTTCTCCCCTGCTGGCTACGCCTACTCCTGCCCGATGCTCGCGGAGCTCCATGCCCATTAATCATGCATCTTTTGAAAAAATTCTGAAGTAGACTTTAACCGAAATTGGGGGGTGTCATGGCCCTTTAATGACTATCAAGTGGTTTAAACTGTTTTGTTCTGTTGAGCACAAAAGACCATTGCTTGTTTTGTTGTTTCTGGAGTGTCAGAATAGTGTATAAAGGCTCCGCCCTCTTCTGGAATGCAGAAGCTCATTTGCATTTAAAGGAACAAGCACAAAACTGTGTTTCCTCACAGCCAAACTGATGCAAGTCTGACAAGCTATAATAATTTATCTGTGGTGTATTTCAAGCTGAAACTCCTCAGACACATTCTGGGGACACCAAAGATTTATTTTACATGTTTTAAAAATGTAAGAATGAGTTTGAAAATAATCCCTGTTAAAGCTTCTCTAAACAATATCAATTAAGTAGCAGCAATAACAAAAGACACTTGCAATAAAGTAGGACTGAGGAATGCTGCTCAATCTAATCTGACAATATTGTGTCAATATTGTGTGTAAGAGAGTGTGAGGGCGTGTGTGCATAAATACATATTTGTATTTGTGTGTGTGTATCTGTGCTTGTGAGTTTGATCTTCTCTGGGGAGGGCATTCCTTATCTGGAAGTCTTACTTCCTGCTGAGACCTGACTTCCTGTTTCCTGTTTTTGGTTTCCTATAGATGATCCAGACGAGTCGCACACTGATCGAATCAGCCGATGGCGTGTACTCAAAGCTCACACAAGCACAGAGAGCAGGTATCGTTGCATACACACACATACACACACCAACAGTGAAAGCACAATAACAGCTGATGGTTTAATACGGTTATTTACAATAGCAATTAGAGGTTATTAATGACTGTAATGTTATTGTCTGTTTACTCATAAAGCAACGGGATGCATAAACTCACACACACACACACATTTTCATGCACAGTTAAAAATCAGAAAACCCCCTTATTAATCTACTGGGTTGCTGAAGGGGCATATTTGTGGCTTGAATAAAGTCTTTTTCTGTGTTTTGGGAGAAGAAAAATAAACATTTTAGTCATCTGACCTCATGGACAGTAGTGAATAGCCTGCAGGTTTTTTTTTGTCCACTTTTGGCACAAACACACAATAAAAAGACGGTTTGTCATTATTTTTTTTAGTGATGCAATAGCGCTTGTGCCCTGAAGCCTTTACGGTGTTCATACTGTATATAAAGCTAAGATTTGAGTGAGAGAAAAATATATAATGGAACAGTGTTTGTTTAAAAAAAACTTAACTTATTAATCATTTATCTCATGAATTAATAAAGTGGTATGCAACTTAGGGTCATGCATTGCAGTGATTTAGCTGTGAAAAATGGGTGTTCATGAGCTATAATCACACTATACTTTAATAATGCAATGCAATCTTTGAACAGTTTAGAGAACAGAGCTGGTAACCCCCCTGAAGGTGTAAAAATGAACTCTGCAAAGTATATACATTTCCTGCCTGACCACTTTCTTTCATGGTTTTTCATAGCAAAGTCAACTTCAATGCACCTAAGTCTCATACTGCAAAGAATAACTCTGCTACATTTACTGCTATGGACATAAAAGGAGAGAAACTCATGGTGTGGCCACCATCCTACCCTGACCTCAACCCTATTGAGAAACTCTGGAGCATCCTCAAGCAAAATATCTATGAGGGTGGAAGGCAGTTAGCATCAATACAGCAATCTGACATTCTGCAATGAAATTAAATAAGAAGCTATCCAAAAACTCGTGAATCGTGAAGGTTATATCAAGGCAGGGGTCCTATGTTAACATGTAACTTGCTTTATTAGGCTGAGCATCATGGTGGCACAGTGATAGCATGATTGTCTCACAGCAAGAAGGTCACTGGTTCGAGCCTCGGCTGGGTCAGTTGGCATTTCTGTGTGGAGTTTGCATGTTCTCTCCGTGTTCATGTGGGTTTTCTCTGGTTGCTCAGTTGCCCCCTCCCAAAGTCCAAAGACATGTGTTATAGGTAGGTGAATTGGGTAAGCTAAATTGGCCTTAATGTTTGGGTGCGAATGGGTGTTTCCTAATGTTGGGTTGCAGCTGGAAGGGCATTTGCTGCATAAAACATATGCTGGATAAATTAGCGGTTCATTACACTGTGCCGACCCCATATTAATAAAGGGACTTAGCCAAAAAGAAAATGAATGAATGAATGAATTAATTAATTAATTAATTAATTAATGAGAACAGAGCTGGTAAGCCTTTGAAGATGAGAAATGAGAATGTTTCACTGTTTAAATGGCAAAATTCTCACTACGTGCGCAAATTTAGGAGATATTTATGCAGAATGCATCTTTACACCTAAAAAGCGTTGTTATGGAAACTTTCTGAAGTAAAAAAAAAAAGCCTGTAAGGCTTGCCCTGCCTTTGTGCTCTTCTTATTGGCCCACTGCTCTAGAACTGAAATCAAATGGATTGATTAATATTATCCGTCAATCACTCAGTCAATGCCTTCTGCCTTCAGATTAAAGGAGTTACAACCGCGAAAATGTCAAGATGAGAGAATGAAAATAACACCTAAAGTTACTGATAATGGCACATCTTACTAGTGATCATGTGCTAAATGTTAACCCACCATTTACACTTTTCCAAGAATGAATAAAAGACTTCCAGTGGCTTCAAGTCCACTATGAAAACTAAAGCCATTCACTGTAAAAGTCTATGGGGCGGGGTTTGCAGGTAACAGCGTTTGCCACTGATTCTACACATTTTAAGTGCGAGAGGTACTGTATAATCTTTCATGGTACAAAAAGAAGAAAAGTGCCTTTTATTGCAAAATCATCTGCTACGAGCATAAAAAAGCAACTCATGATATATATATATATATATATATATATATATATATATATATATATATATATATATATATATATATATATATGAGAGTGGAAAGCAGATAGCATCAAAACAGCCGGTCTGGGTGGCTATTTTGACATCCTGTAAAGAAATTTGAGTCAAGTCAAGTCAAGTCAGGCTTAATTGTCATTCCACTACATATATGGACATAGAGAAGGACAAAATATCTTGTCTTGCAGGACAACAGTGCTACATAAATTAATCATAAATACAAACACAACACTGGAAATAAGAGCTAATAAAAAATAAAAAAAACGATGTATAACTAACTTACATTATAAAATAAAATACTTTAACTATACACATGAGGTCATACAAGTACTTTTACATGAGACCAAACAATGGTGTGCATGGGTTTAATATTGTGCAAGAGGTATTTAATGTTGAAGCAAGCAGCGCAACAGGATTGTGGTACATTTATAGTAAACATCACTTTCCTTTTTGAGTCTTTGTAAGGTGGAGTTATCTAAACACCATTTAAACATCATCTTAAAAACAAAAATGCACTAGTGTATTGGCATAAAACATAGGCATAAATATACCTTGAAATCAGAATCAAGTGAGAGCAGTGTAATACGAACCTTTAACATCCATGGAACCTTTTCATTCCACTGAAATGAAACAGTGGAAATCATTACAGTGGATGAAGGTTCTTTATATGTGATCATTCTTCAGAACTTTTCTCATCAAAGGACTACATTTAACGATTTACAGTTGAAGTCAGAATTATTAACCCCCCTAAATTATTATTATTATTATAGACCTAAAAATGTTTTTTAAAACTTTAAGAACTGCTTTTACTCTAGCCGAAATAAAACAAATAAGACTTTCTCCAGAAGAAAAAATATTGTCAGACATACTGTGAAAAATGTTCTTGCCCTGTTAAACATCATTTGGGAAATATTGAAAAAAGAAAAAAAATTCAAAGGGGGTGTAATAATTCTGATTTTAACTGTATATAATTAAATTGCAGTTTTTGTGATTTGATATCAACACTAAAGCATGACATGTTGTCTGTAATAGTGAAGAATTTATCAGCAACATGATCTGAAGATTTTTACTCAGATTTGTCTCTTAGAGAGTGTTTATTTACAGAATTTAGCATCTACAGTATGAGCAATATCATGAGTAGCATTGCAATATATCAACAGTTATTATTTTAGAATTTGTTGAATCATGTTTGCATACGGTAAATAATAATTCAACACATTCTAAATGCTTAAAAAGTTTAAAAATGATTTTGATTATGTAATATTTAGCATGAAATGTCCTTTATTCTAATCTGTTATCGTGACAATGCTTTTGTCTCTGGCTTTCATATGACTCTGAACAGAATTCTACTCAGTGCAATATCTAGTGTGATTGCGGCCTTAGGCATGATATTACACAAAAGAGCCTGTAATTATTATTAATAAAAATGAGAAGAAAAAAAGCCAAGCAATATAGTTAATTGTATTAACTCCAGGCTTTTTGTTCTCGCCAAACAAAATTCAGAACTGATTCTTAAAGAAATCTCTCGCATATCCAACAAAGATACTTCAGCCGCTACACAGAGTTTGTCCATTTTCCAAAGTCGTCACACAAAACACAGAAACATAAATGAATATATAACATAATTATAATTATATAATTAAATAATATAATTATATAATTATAATATAATTAAATTACATAACTGGTTATTTGTTTTGTGTCTTGCAACCACATTAAAACGCATTGAATTACCAAATAATAGGTTTGTATTCTTTGTTTTTCAAATATATAAAGCACATAACTCTCTGTAAAACCTGCAAATTATTAATAAGCTGGTAACTCTTTACAATAAGGTTGTATTAGTTACTGTTAGTTCAAGCATTTACCAACATGAGCAAACATCAAACATTACATTTATTACAGTGTTTGTTCATGTTAGTTAACGTTAGCTAATGAAAATAAAGTTGTTCGTTGTTAACTCATGTGAACTAACGGTGCATTGACTAATGTTAACAGGCATGAATTTGGATTTTAAAAAACGCATTAGTTAACTTTAAACTATTGATTAATAAATGCTTTACAAGTATTGCTCATAATTAGTTCATTTTAGTAAATACATTAAATAATTTAACCTTATTGTCAAGTGAGACCAATAAACTACATTAACCTTTTAATGCACAAGCTTTAAAATAGATATAGAAAAAATAAACGGGTCACTTTAGACCCATGTAGTGCATCAAAGGGTTAATACACTGTCATAAACTTGTAGAAAATCTATAAAGTCCAATATAAGAAACCCTGTGCGTGACATGCAGAGAAAAAAATGTCTTAGCATCCTAATCATTTACTTTATCTGGAAAATGTGATTTTATTTAATTAATTAATTTTTTATTCGTCTATGCATTTTAATTATATTGTTTCAGTCAAAGTCAATAGAATCACTCTGGGCTTAATTTCCTCTGGAGGAAACGTTGGATGGTGTGCTGACACAATGACGTTAACTGAATTATATGCTATAACATGTAAAACGGGATCATGAAAGAAACATTCAAAAAGTTACTCATGTAAACACCTTAATCATATTATTGTCTTATTCAGATTAAGGCAATTAGTCGTGATAAACGTAGTCACTAATATTTCTTTGCCATCAGTGTTATCAGTTATTTATGTCATGACCAGGGCCAGACGGAATCTGCGGACGTTTTTTGCTATTTCTGCTAAGAATTTTGGTAAAAGTCTGCGGATTTCTGCAGTATTATTTTGGGAGTGTCCAGCGGAGTATCATAACTAAAACCTTAATATAAAAAAATAACAAATTATAAATTACTGAATAAAAACTGAATAAATTTAGATTTACACATTTACTCAAGTAAATAAAGAGAATTAATGATGGGCTAA